AATGGTTTCACACCGGTGTGGATCCGCTGATGTGATTTTAAGCTACCAATCTGAGTAAAAGACTTTTCACACTGATCACAGCTGAATGGTTTCACACCGGTGTGGATTAGCTGATGTGATTTCAAGCTACCAATTTGAGTAAAAGACTTCCCACACTGCTCACAGCTAAATGGTTTCACACCGGTGTGGATCAATTGATGTGATTTCAAGTGACCAATCTGAGTAAAAGACTTTCCACACTGATCACAGCTGAATGGTTTCCCACCGATGTGGATCAGCTGATGTGATTTTAAGCTACCAATCTGAGTAAAGGTCTTTCCACACTGATCACAGCTCAAGCTTCTGTCCTCCCTGTTGGCGCACTTGCGTCTTCTGGGCTGCTTCATAGCAGGAAAAGTCTTTTCCACAGGGATCGCCGCTGGCTCATCTTTACTTTCTGGTGCTGGATGTTTTTGGTTGATGTCATCCATGTGCTGAGGTTTCGGCCTGCTTTCACTTCTTTCTCCTGTAATGACAAAGAACCCAAACAGTGACATCAGGTCTATACCTTCAGCTCATCAACAAGTGCCCCCTCTTACCTCACAAAGATAAACAGTTTCACCATCTGCCAAACGTCTCAGGTGCCTGGGGACGCTATGCTGTGGTAAATATTTGAAGTGAACTCATTTTGGGGATAAAAGTAGTAAAAGTTCAACATTGTGAATAAAATATTAGCTCGTATGACTTCAAAGTTTTTTAGTTTTTACTTTGTTCAAATTTGAAGAACATCACACTTACAATGTGCAGTTCAGGTTGTATGTGTGAGAGCTGTACAACCAAATCCACACTGACTCAGATTTCCCTCTGATTAACCACGAGGGTGTCACAGTTATCAAAGTCTGCAGACACTGTCAGCTGCAATCAACACCTTTTATTATAATGCACAGGTGAGTTATAATGCATCTCCACTAGAAGATGGTCCCCTGTTATCTAGTTTTTCACAGGCAAGCCTGGGCGAGAGTCTACAGCAGCGGTCCCGAACCCCCGGACCGGTACTGGTCCGTGAGTCGTTTGGTACCCGGTCGTGAGAGTTGATGCTTGGTTGTGAAATGCATGGGTTTCAGGGTTTTTTATCGGTTTTCAGCATTATTTTGTTATCGTTTTTATTGTCAACTCGGTTTTCCTAGGTCTTTTCACGTGCGTCATGTATAAATCTTCTTTTTTTAGGTACAAGTAGAGTTGGACGTCTTGAGACAACTTTTACGTGGTCTTGGTCTCGACTGACTTTTTTCTTGGTCTTGTCAAAAACAACACACAACATTCGAAGCACATTGCACACCGTCGTAAATTCCCCCTAATTTTGGTACGACCTGAGCTCAGGTACTAGCTGAGGACAGCACTTACGCATGTGAGCGAGGGGGGAGAAGCTGCTGCCTGCAAGTTTGCTGCAGACAGAGCAAAGCTTAAGTTTAACCAGGTACCAAAGAAAATCACTCGTATTGTACAAATAATGTAAATATGACGGTGTATCACCAAAGATTGATATCAAACTGATTACTTGGCCCATATTATGCTTCTCACTCTTCGAGTGAATCAACAAATGGCAAAATGAAAAGCAGAACAACAATGCTGTTTTTCTTTTTAGAGAGTCTTAGCTTACATGTGTGTTTATTCCATATTTTTAGTTGTTACCCTCCACGGCTAAATAAATAACTCTAAATCGTTTTTAGTTATGTACGGATGAACACAACAATGGACATAAGGGGCGTCTTTCAAAGAAAAAAAACTTAGGTAGATGTTATTTTATTGATTATGCTGTGTATGTTGTTCAATATAATTCTATGCCAAACAAGAGGAATTTCAATACACAGCAGTATATTCACAGTTAAAACTAGAGATGGCACGATACCACTTTTTTATGTCCGATACCGATACCGATATCATAAATTTGGATATCTGCCGATACCGATATGAATCCGATATAGTATTTTTTAATCAA